CGTTACCAACAGAGCTCATTAACATAAACAGCTCTTCTGAACAGAAGTCAGAGCAGCAGAACTAGAAAATGGGAAATTTTATTATCAGAATTATTTTGTGCATTAAATTGAATGAAGATGGTCTGGATAGCCCACAGACATACCATAAACATTTCTACGACCCATAACTGGTCTCCTTTAAGTTAAAGTTTAAATCACATAATGTAAACATGTCTAAAGTGCTGTCTTTTCAAACACTTGTAAACTATTCATCCATCAATTATTTTTAGCCTTTTTTTTTCAGGGTCAGTGGTGCCCATATCCAGTGATGACGGGCTACACACTGAAAATGTTACAAGTCTATCACAGGGCCACATAGAGACAAACAAGACAATCAAACATTTGCACTCACAACTTGGGACAATTTAGAGTTACCAATTAGCCTAACATTTATGGTTTTAGTCTGTGGGAAGAGACCTGAATGCCTAGAGAAAACCCACGCAAGCACAGAGAAAACATGCAAACTACCCAGACAGCTCGCCAGCCGGATTCGATTCAGCAATCCTTCTCGCTGAGATGGAAAGCAGTGTTGTCACTCATACACCAATAAGATTTTCAGGGACAGTTTTGGAGAATAGTGCCCTTGCCAAAAACACTGGGTAGGGGAGTGATCCCCTAATCCACCAGGAAAACAACCACCCTTCAACTGGGCTAAAGACATCCTCACATTTTGTTTGGGCCTACATTTGCTGCAGTTTAGGTGTTTATTTTGCTGGTACCATCTATCTACAAAGGGTATAATGTGGGACATGCAGTATGAAATGATATAAAAAAGCTCTACTCAGCTCCCTTAATAGGCTGTCAACAACTAGGAGCCAACACAGGGGTGAGATTACTCCTCCCTGTGAACAGCCCCATGTACCCCAGAGTTGAAGATGCTTTCCTTGTCTGAAGATAAAAATGAGCCACTTTGTTGTTGTTTCATCCACACCTTTGCTGGCAAGTGCTCTCTCTCTATAGTTTCTACAGGTACATTGTCAAATGTCCCCTTTATGTCCAAACAGCAGCCAAGTGCATACTGTCCACGTGCCACGCTGCGTTCTATTCTCAAAACAATGGGCCTCATGCAAGAACATGTTCGTATTCTTCTCCTAAATTTCTCTTACTTTTGTTCGTACAAAGGGTTCGTACGAACATGTCACGTCAGATTCAACAAACTCTTCTATCTTCAGGAAAAGTGTGTAAATGAGCTGTAAATGAGAGTAAATTCACCTGTTCGTATCCAGCTGCTTGTGCACGCGGGAGGAGATTAGCATAATTACCACCCCAAAAACACCATATAAGGC